AGTTACTCAGGCCCCTGGGATGTCACCCGGGCTGCTTGCTGAAGATCCCAGCACAAAAGAGGTAGGTGTAGACGAGAGTTTCATACCTTCCCTCCGCCAGGTGCTGGGACAGATGGAGTAAACAGAAATTCACAGAGACGCTGTCCTTTATCTGCCAAAGTCTCAGTCAACCAGCAGCACCACTCACCGCTGAAGCCAGGACCCCTGTCTGCAAAGCCTGTGTTCCTTCCCCAGCCATCCCAGACCTGGTGGGGACTGAATTCTCACCTATCTTACTGCAAAGAGAGCAGGGACTCAGGTCCACGCTGCCAGGCATGGCTCCTGCTCCACCAAGCGCAGCCCCTGTGGACCTGGGTGGGCCATGGAACCTACTGACGCTCGTGAAGGCGACCGTAGGCAAGGATCAGCCCTGCAGCAAGGGTCCTCAGGAAGATGACACGGGCCACCACACCTGAGTCCCCAGCATGACGCTCGGCATACACAGTAGTTTCCCTCATCAGCATGATAAGCGCGCTGTAAAAATCTGACACTCAGGTCTCACTCAGGAATGTCCCCTCTTGTCCACAACCTCCCTTGTTTTTACGTTTAAAGGCAGGCCCCTCTGAAGGAGCAGGCTGACCCTCTACCCCTGGACTCAGACATGTGCCAACACAGGGGCCCCTGAGCCCCGAGGCCGCCCTCACATCCAGGTCCCTGCCTGAAGGCCCTGGGGCTCCATCCCACGTCTGCCTCCAGCAGCCGGAGCAGATGCCTGGCCTGGCTCATCCCCGCCCCCAACACCTCCCTGTGTGACAGCTTCCAGATGGCACTTTCTCCCTGTGCCTGAGCCCGCACAGGCCCTGCCTGAGAAGCCTGCACCATCCCGGCATCCCCTCAACCGCTCAGCCTCCTCAGGGCCTCCTTTGTGCCTCCTAACACAGGCAGCATTGTGTAGTGACCCGTCCCTACGCGTGCCCCACAACATTCCACGCTGATGCAGCTGAAAGATCGCGCCGCTGTACACACGCCGGAGGTCACTGCCTGCCACTGCCACCTACGCTGGCTCTTCTAGGCCACGTAGCTGGGCAGGACCGCCCTGCCTGGTTCCCAACCCAGCCAGCCCAGGGGGAAGGGCACACGCAGTCCACAGTCCCTACCTCCCAGAAGTCAGTTGGCCCCTTCCTGCCTCAGGGGTGAGCACAGGTGGCCCCGCACCTGGCCTGGCCCCTCCTCTGTGCCCGGCCTCATGNGGCTGGACCGGGGTCTCTTCCTGCTCGGTTTTGTCGGCCTCTGGCTCAGGGAGGCCTGACACTTTTACACTAAATGTAGAGCTAGTCTCTACGCCTGCTCCCTCTCCCAACTTGGCACTTACCTAAAACAGGAAGCTTGTCCTGGGAAGGGTTTGGCTCACTCTTCCCCGTCCCCAGCGCTGTGACTCTCCCTTCAGGGGCCATTAATCACTGTTCAGGGATACCTACTTGTTTGCAAAGGCTTCCTGTGAGAAGATCACTTCTAAATTTCAAAAAAGTCCCAGAGTAGTAGAATCCAGCTTGCTTATATCTAATCTTCTGACATCTCTATAGTTCTAAAAGTGTGAAAAAACTGACAAATGGCCCATGACTCCTGTCAAACATGAAATGAATTAAGAAATACTTTAAATTTGTATAATCAATAATCAAACGTGCACTGAATTTTATTGGTCTACTGTTGAAGTATAAAAGTCCTTTAATTCCAAAACTGTTCTTAAATTATTTTTATGATCAAAGGAATTAAATAGGATCTAGAATCAAAATCAAAATTCCAGTTATTAAAATGATGAATTTATCAAGTCATTTAAAAATGGGTGGAAGACAGGAAGTGATTTCTAAAATCTCAGGCTTTACAACTGTCTTGTTATAACAACAAGGAATCGCTGAGGATGGAATTCAGTCAACTGGAAAACATATTAACCTCCAGAGGGCCTTGGATGTTAATCTGAGCCTTGAAGTCCTTTTCTTCATATAAACTGAGATGCCTTCAACTGCTTCCAAATCTCAAAAGAGATTTTAATCCAGAAGAAGAGACATCTGACTTTAACTTTGCCAAGTAATTTCCTTTAAGAAAATTTGGTGAGGTCAGTCAGGTGTGATAGTACAGACAGTTTTGTTCCCACTGAGACCTCTCTTTAAACTCAGGATTTCCCAAATGTATTTGCTTAGATGAGTTTATATATATATAAATTTTCAGACTTGGGTCTGGTACTTGGAAATTGCTACCATTACTGCTGTGGCTGTTACTCTGCTTTGCACAGAGTCTTATAACCTACT